TGTACGTATTTTTGGTCAAATGTGGTCACCAGTAAAATTGAACTTTTTGTATATTTTAATAGCATATACAGTAGCGGATCGTGTGTTTTATTGCACACGTGGGGTGTGTGATCTCTGTCTTTGGCCTTTTACACCTGGCTTTTGACAACAACTTTAATACCACCACTTAGGCATGTTTTTCTATTATATGTAAACCAAAGGTGCCTTAGCATGCAAATGAGGATCAGATGGACTCTTCTAATTTCATAGCCTACTCCTCTAGAAATAAACTATTTCTATCACATTTTCCATACTTATCATATTGTCATCAGCTGCTTCTATATCCCAAAAGAATACTAAGTGCTGATCGATGGCCCGGAGATGTCTGGCCATGGCCTACATGTGCCCTGGGTAGTTCATCTGTTTGCCTTGGTAGATTTGTTAGAGTGGAATTTAATCAATAGCTAATTCATTAATTCTGGTCCTCGAGAATGTAGAGACTGCCTCGAATGAAGGTAGCTGCTGGCTCTGGTTTTGATTGAAATACAACAAACACTGCATCTGTCAGCTTTACTGGGTAGTGGGCTGCCTCTGAAGTTTATGTATTCATCCCCCATAAATGTGTAAGGTAAGAATAAGTGTAAACAGGGAAGAGGTTTCATTCTGTTACTGATAGTGTTCCAAAGTGTGTGATTTCCGGGCAAGAGGCTCAAGGGAAAGCAGAGAGACGGCAGCTCATGCCTCTCCCTGCCTTGAACTGGAAGAAGTGTGGCAGTTTTTTCCCAGGTCCACGCCAGTCTGTGGCTGTATTATTGATGAGAAGGCTGGGCTAGACTGTCTTTGTAGCATTCACAAGTAATTGTTTAAAAATTTCCCTCAAGCACCTAACTGGTATCAAAGATAAATTTACACACCAACTTTGCAGAAGTCTTCATGATAGCAGCTCAACCCGAGTGTCCCCAAAGGAAGGTTGAAACCCTGTTATCGTTTATGAGTCTTCCCATATTTTCATAGTACTTAGCTTGGGGTTGAATGTGGCATGAGAGGTCATAGCTTGTGGAAGAAGAATCTTTCCTTTTTTTGCCTCACCAAATTTGGAAGGAAACTTTGAAACCTCTGTATTTTCATGATGTTGGATATCAAGGAATCTTCTTTCTCCTTAATTTTCCCTACCTGATGTTTTCAGTGACTGACAACTTGAAGGCAGAAGTAATAATTTGATTATTTCAAAACTTCAGCCATAGTTTTATTTTCTTAGTAAGGAAAATTTTGGTCTGTCGATGTACAATGTTGGATCACTTCTCCCTCACCTGTATTTTAAATACCCTTCCTCACCAATATGGACAATGGGAGGCAGCTTTTAATTTGGACTGGAATTTTCTGTTTGAGTCTTGAAAAAGTATGGGAAGGACTCTTGAAAGGGAAAACATGGAGGATGCAAATTGAGTCAACAGTCATAATCAGAATTGCTTTCAGAAAATGTTATTGCTTTTAATGGCCAGAGTTCTGAATATCCAACTAACTGATGTATTAGGAGGAGACCGAACAGAATGGTCAGCTTATTCTTAAGAATGCCACTAATTTCTTTATCTCCCTCTCTCTCTCGAATGCCCTCTAATTTCTCTGCCTTTGTGGTTCCCACAGAAGAAGCCCAATGAATCAGGTCACCTTTGTGCGCCCTTCATGAGGTCCAGTTCTTCCTTCTAATTAACTTTGACCTTTAACAGTCACTTCACCTCTGGCTCTTTCAACACACATTGGTCTCTTCCATCGGTTCTGTTCCAAATCCATTCTTAAACTGTGGGTGTTCTCAACAGAATGACTCTCCCTCCAGCTCAGAGTTTAAGTATTCTTACAGGCTACTATACTGATGTCCCAAAGATTCCTGGCCCTGCTCTCTCCCTGAGTTCCAGGCCCATATATCCAATTACCTGTTGACTTTCTGTGATAGCTACGCTTCACTTTCATAACCTCAAGCCTCAGAAGTTAATCCTCAGCCAACTCATCGTTTCCAAGGTCCATTCCTGCAAATCACCACCATCTTGCACATTATTGTAGCCATAGGTGTATATCTTTGGTTTTTCCAATCCCCTGATTTCACTAAATATCAGTTTTAGTGCATTTTCTTCTGGAGAATCTTCTCTTGTATTCTTCTGTTTCCACCACCACCAACACTCAGGTCCGTGCTTTTATGTATGTTTATGGAGCTATCTTAATTCAATGAAATGCAAGGAGGAAAATGCTCTACTTTTTGTCTATGACTTACTGCTTCTTAAACATAATCTTGTGGAAGTCCTTTCCTCAATTCTTAAAAACGTCCCAGGAACATCTTAAGGATTTCAAATTCTTTTTAGTTATGAGGCTTCCTCTGGTAATTAAGACTCATGATCAAGTATTAAAGTTTACTAAAACATTGAGCTCAGGCATAGTACACAGATTCTGCCATTTCACAAGCTCGGATCTGATCACCGCTTGCCCTTTCCCTCCTCCTCACTCTTTGTTTTTTATTCTCTTTCACCCAAATGTGTCTCCTCCCAGTGTTGTTATTTTCCTGCCATTACTGGGTGGCCCTCAAAACCATCTGTGTGGCTCTCCATATAGCCAAGTTCTCTGGCATGAGTGTTGCCTTCTACAGCTGATTTCTTGCGGTGCCAACAAAGCAGAACACCCCAAAGACTCTTCTTGCTAGAGTCCTATCCTCCACAAAGGCTGCCTCCCTGGTCAATGCACCTTTAGGTGGCTCAATCCTGGGAGGCATTGCTGCCTCATGGAAACTGACTCATCTTTGTCATGCCAGAGATTGATAATGTGGCACTCTTGTCTTCACCTGTCATTGCAGCTGATCTGGAAGACATCTGGTCATGAGAATTCTCTAACTGAGGAGCAAGCACCTTTTTCTCTGGCCATATAGAACCCCTATCCACCTGTCCCGAAACTCCCTCCTATACTTCCTTCCAGGCATAGCAGCCAACTGGACATTTAGGTGGCCATGCCTGCTGAAAGTTTTGTCAGTGTCACTCTCATTGGTTCTAATGACACTTTGATCATTTATCTTCATGTACCTGACTCAGATCCTCAAAAGCAGAACTATTGATGTCATTGCTAAAAATATAGGTGATCTCACTTCAGTTTTGCTGTGCCAGAAAGAGCAGTTGCAATTGCAGGTGTTCTGCATGGGTTCTCTGGACTTTACCAATTCACTAGTTTTGGTGGAGATATTAGGCCCTTGAATGTCACTCAAATTGTAGCCTTTTCTGCATTGATTATGCAGAAATACAAAAGAGGTATCTGAACATGTGAAATTCATTTTGAGAGTTGCCTAAAAACCCTCAAATAACAATGGTAGCTACAGAAGCCACCTAGGAAACTCTTCTCTCATAGGGAACATTTCCTGTCTGCAGAGTTTTGTTAGTGTGTTATGTGTATACTACCCCCAAAAATGAAATAGTGATTTTCTTCCATTTTAAAGCAGAATTTCAGCATTTCATTCATTTCAAAGGAACAGGAAGAATGAAAAGTTATTATTTTATATTTATATAGTGTTTTACTAATCTTAGGCTTTTTTTTTTTTTTTTTGCTAAGCTAAATTGCAAGAAAATATCATGCCTGATTCTCTGGGGCTTAACTGTAAACTTTAATTACTTTTTGCTTTTTTTAGTTTATTTAAAAAAAATACTGAAGATAGTATGGATGTGTCTTCTAGGTTGTATCATTGTGGCAAGTAGACCTACGTTACAGAATTAAAGTTCTCTAACATTAACCTCAGAGTAAATTATTTTATTCAGGGTTAACTCCTCTGTGAACAACTTTATGTTATAATCTTCTTTGCTACAGCAAATGAAGTATTAATACATCATTGAAAATGTAGTAAAGTTTTTATCAGATGTCATACCCTCATTATATATCAACTCCTCATTTTTTAAAAAAGTATATTTAGATTAAGAACAAAATTGTGAATTACTGTTTAAAAATCAGACATCCTCAAATCTGTGAGGATATAAAACTTAATTTGTTATGGGAGTCTCCATTTCCTGTATGTGTGTCTGACCACAAACATATCTGACCATGATATTTAAAGATTTATTGAAGAAATGAATCTGTTTTGGTCAAAAATTATGCTATATCTAAGTAAAATGTATTTGAAGTTTTGAAGTTATCAATTTTATCAGTTGATAAAAGTTATGAAGTTTATTTATAAATAGAGTGATCAGTTTTATCAATGGATAAGTTATGTGTCTCCTCCCAATGGATAAGTTATCCATTGATAAAAAGATTTTTGAAATCAATTTGCTCGTTTATTTTGGCTACAAGTAACAAAACACCCAACAACAAGGGCTCTTAAGTGCGTGGTCCTGGAGGTGGACTGTGATTGGCCTTGGTTCAGCTACACAACATGCCATGGTGTCTTCTTGTGCTCCTTACGGTCTTTCTCAAATGGCTGCCAGATGATCATTCAAATCCCAGACACCAGGGTCAGCAGAAAGAAGGAGAACGGGAAGGCAGCCTCTGTGTCCAGAAAGAAAGACCGAATGGGAATCCCACAGTCTTGTAGTTGCCTCTGTGTGAGCATCTGTGAACAGCCACATCACGCTCCGAGCCACGGGAAGGGAGGGAGAGCAGAAGGTCGTTCTAAGTAGGCATCCAGTCTGTCACATGCTCTAGTTTCCACTTTATTTACCAAGTCATATTCCTCGTGTCTTATTTGTACTTATCAAGCCAAAACTTTGTTGGTTTTCCTGATTAGCCAGGAACAATACTTCCTTCTCATTTCCAAAATTTAAAGTGGGATACCACTGGACTCAGGTCCTGTGTTAATTGATTCTCAAAACATATTGCATTGTAATAGCATGTATGAGTATATACAGTAATACATATGTATTCTTCTGATATATCCTTTTGTTTGGGAAGTTAATATGAAAAAGACCTTTAGAACAGTCTGGAAGATAAACTTTAAAGGACATGAGGCAGGCAGCAGCACTGTGAAATGTCTTTTCCGAAGTATTCATTATTCTCTGTTACAGATCCCTTCAAATTGATTGGATGACTCCAGGGAAACCAAATGGCATCATTCTCGGATATGATGTCTTGCGGAAAACGTGGTACCCATGCCCTACAACCCAGAAGAAGTCCCCTGGTGAGCTCTGCCAGGCCACCATGTGTCAGAACCATGAAACTGTCTGTGGACACAGGTGCTATTCTCCTGAAACTAAGGTAAATCTTTTCAAACCAGTCAGTGAAATCTATTTTTTCCCACCAAACAGTTCAAGTGAAATCGCTTGCTTCTTAAAACATGATTCATCATAGTTAATATTGCCACCACTCTATCCAGGAGAACCTGTGGTTGGGGGGAAAGGATGCTTATAAAAATCCCATCATCCTCAGGAGTATGTTGACCTTCTCATTTTTCACCACCTTCACAGGAAATAGCAGCTTATTGAAATTATAAGGACCTCTTGAGTTTGTATTTGATTGAGTGACCTGAATTTTTTTTTTTTACAACAAATCCATTCAGCTACAAGTGGATGTTTGTTTACATGACACTGATGAGTAACTATGAATAGGACCTTTCATGGTTTGTCAGAAATATTTTCAAATTATGGCCATTTTCAGATTAATGTTCCTATTAGTTGCAGTTTAGGAACCAGATCAATAACACAGCCAGACAGAGGAGTTTGTAAATGGCTTTTATTGACAAACGATGCGGAGAATTCTTAGTTTGAAGGTAAGATTTCATATAATGAAATAATGTTCCTATTTATCAACAACATCACACATGGAATAACTGAAGCTACCACTAAATTCAACAGATTTGCTGCAAAAGGACACAGTCATCAGGAAAGTGAGTCTTGCAGAGCAAAGTGATCACAGCACAAATGAGTAAGGCTGACACTGGTTAGGTGGTAGTTACCGTCGGAGAAATGTTATAAAAGTAGCTGTTATGAACTACCCTTTTCTGAACCGTCAGTCTCCAGAATCATCATTATAGCTAAGTTTTACGTCATTTCAAGTCATTACAGGTGCACCGTCTGAGGAGCCTACTTTCCTAAAATAAAATTAAATTTAGGGTCTCTTAGAGGAAAATGCTGGAATACATCTGCTCATTAAAAATGTTGCCTAAGAGACGGAGAGAAAACTTTGATACATTAAACAAAGTTTTATTGTTACTTTAAAGATGAAGGACAGACACAGGTATTGCCAGTGAAAGAGAGTAGAGGAAGTAAATTAAAATCTCAAAATGAAACATTGTAAATTTCTGTTTGGGGTCAATATGAATTATGTATTCCCCCAGTGAGAAGTTGAAGAATGGTAGAAAAGAGACGTATTGTGAGTCTAAGAATCTTCTGGCTGAACCTCTATAAACATCAGGGGGATCTGTAGTCCACAAGCTTCCCCATGTGATCAGGTCACGGTTCTCAAACCCCACTGAGCATCAGACCCCCCAGAGACGCCCACTCTGCGAGTCTGAGGTGCGGCTGTGAGATCTGGCATTTCTCTCAGGCTCCCACGTGTTGCCTCAGCCTCTGGGGCAGGGACCACACTTTGAGCATCACTAGATTACAGAACCACTGCTGGAAATCCCAGGGGGAGGAACAGGCTCCTCTTTGAATATTAGCTACACCCTTCCCAACTCATATTATTGACATTTCTAGGTATGTTTTCTGAGACAAGTACCTTGAAGACCGAGTTAGGAGATTAGCAACATTCTGTTTGTGGGGACACCTCCCAGGAGGAATAATTGCTTGAAAACGTGCCCCTTGGGGCCCATTAATGATCACAACCAGAGTGGGTTGGAAGGAAGGAAGGAAGGACAGATGGATGGATGGAAGTACACCTGAGAAGGTCTTGGGCAGTGGATGCAAAGAAGTGGCCCAGTCCTAATAGCCTGTTGCTAAATAAACATTTGAGGAAATTGTTAAAAGAGGACAATAAGTACTAGAGAAACTCACTGAAGGGAAGGCAGAAACACACTGTAGGTAAACGGGACTTTAACAGATGCTTTCAGATCAGACCTCCTGAAAACAACAGGAGAGAGGGATATGGTAGTTTGCCCCTGAGAGCAAAAATGACCAGCATTCTTAAGTCCCAAATAAACCCAGACACAAGACTTTTTTCTTTTTGGCTTAACTCTTAAAAATAGGGCATAATTCTGCCCTGGCTGGCATAGCTCAGTAGATTGAGCATGGGCTGTGAACCAAAGGGTCACAGTTTCAATTCCCAGTCAGGGCACATGCCTGGGTTGCAGGCCAGGTCCCCAGTGAGCTCCATATGAGAAGCAACCACACATTGGTGTTTCTCTCCCACTCTTTCTCCCTCCCTTCCCCTCTCTAAAAATAAATAAATAAAAAATTTTTAAAAAATAGGGCATAATTCTGACATTTTCTTTTCATACGGAGTATAGCACTGAAGAGTCACCCAATTTACCTTATCCTTGGAATTAGACAAATTGTGGATTCTCATTGCTAATAACTAAGCACAGCAAAGGAAACGCATTACTGTTAGATGAACAGAGCTGCCCAAGAACCTGCAGGGGTAGCCTTTGAACTTGAGTCCCTCTTCTTTGCTATCTGGTCCCTTTGGGAAAAAGAGTGAAGTACTGAGCTAGCGGCCAGTCTGAAGACTTATTGATCCCAGCTTCTACTGCTTGTATGTCCAGCTCGATTCAGAAGTTTGTGCGGCAGCAAGTCACAGAGTGAGAAGGAGAAAGTGAAACACCTTGTCAACAGTGGTTGATTTTGCCTGGTTGCAGGAAGCATCTACCCCGGGCATGTGACAAGCCAAGTGCAGGTTCTGAGGCTGCATCTCAGCAGCTCTTTGGTGTCTGTTTGTTATATACACCCAGTGTCAGAGTTTGCACACACCCTCAAGTGAGTGTGCAAAAAGTTATTTGGCTGTTCAAGCACCAGATTTCTTCCACTGCTCCTGGAGGAAACGCAGCTGGTTAGAAGGGCTTGTCAGAATTGATTTCCATTAAAAATGTTCTTGTTTTAATGTGACATATATCACATGTAGGTACATAGACATGTGTGTGTGTGTAAGTGTTGGACTCTTTTAAGATCATCTTCTGTAAAGATTGGGTACATAAGTGTGATCATACAAGGTATGAAAAAAATTCAATTTATTTAAAAAAATCAATGAGAGTCAGGTCTCCATAGATGTGGAATTAAAATAAACAACCATTAAAATAAAAACATACATAGAAAGGAAATTGTTCCTTGTTAATTCTAAATCATTTGTACATTGGAAACACATTCAAAAGGTAGTTCATTTTTATATATTATTATAATAGAGCATAGCATGATGGAGGACTAAGAAGCTATGAATCTGAAAGATGCTGAGAACATGTATTTTTTTTAATATTTTATTTATTTATATTTAGAGAGGGGAAGGGAAGGAGAAAGTGGGAGAGAAACATCAATATGTGGTTGCCTCTCATGTGTCCCTTACTAGGGACCTGGCCTGCAACCCAGGCATGTGCCCTGACTGGGAATCAAACCAGCGACCCTTTGCTTCATAGGTCCATGCTCAGTGCACTGAGCTACACCAGCCAGGGCAGAATATGTGTTTTTTAATGTTTGAATTTTCATCAGACATATACTAAACTTGGTCTTCTCGTATCGAGACCTATTAGAAAACAGCTACGGCATGAAAGATATGGTAGTTTCATACTCTTAAGTCACTGATTTTTCTGGAACTCCGATTCCCCACTTGCAGGTTTGCTGTGCCGGCGTTCTCCATGACGCCCGGCCGGAACACCGGTGTTGCGATGAGAAGTATGTCCCTTTTGTCTTGAATTCGACTGGAGTTTGTTGCGGAGGCCGAATACAAGAGGCACGCCCGGACCATCACTGCTGCTCTGGGTATTACATTAGAATTCTCCCAGGTGAGGGTCCCTTCCAGGTGTACTTGGGCATCGTGGGAAGCAGAAAAACAAACACAGGACTTGTGACGGTGAACTGTGTCAAGCACCTCCCAACCAAAACTGAGTCACTCACCCACCGCCAATGACCGGCTCTAGATAGCATTTCTTTTTCCAGCTTTGTTGAGATACAAGCACAGCACAAAATACAGAGGGAGTCCAAGGGGCTTCTGGCATCTGCTACATAAAAAGTATATAGCTGGACAGCTGGGCATCTTTTTTACTTTGTGACTTTATTCACACAGCTAAATAACTCAGCCACACACTCTGTGAATTTGTCAGCGCCCTCTAACGTTACCTTCCCCAGCATTCTTTGCAAAACTCTGGAGCAAAGAGACAGGGTGAAGTCACGAACTACAGTGCAAGTTTATTTAAGGCAGCGATCCTTCATTCTTCATAATTTTCCCTTAATGTTCATGGAAAAGTCTGTCTTTGTAGTGGTTTTGTTAGTCTGATTCTCACACAAAATACTTTTATAATTAAATAATTTAACTAGGTTTTCCAAAGAAGGCAACACGGCGATGGAAATAGGACTTTGTAGAAGAACGTTAACTTCTGGACACTACAAATCACAGTATTAGCTACCAATCAAACACTGCCAAGTGCTTTACTCGTGCAAAATGCATCATCACACGAGAGCAGTTTCCAACCATATTTCACATCTTCAATCCCCTGCAAAAAAAATTGCCTTGAAAATTGTAATTACATAGATGCTATGGAAAATTCCTATTGCCCCATTCTTCAAACTAAAAAACTGTATTAGGCTTTTACCAAAGTTTGGCATAAAGCTAAATGATAGTGTTTTCATTTCTAAGTCTCAGTTGAATTTTTGATAATTTATTTGCGATTTACTGTTCAAACTCTGAAACATTTCCTCTATTGTTTAAAACTGATGAAACATACCTGGTTGTAGCTGTCTCCGCTATTAACGGCTAGATCTCTGCCTGTCTCCTTCTCCTAACAGAGTGGCCGATTTCAAACTAAGACAGCAATCTACTTTTGTTCTATTACCAAATAAAATTTAACCTTTTTTTCCCCTAACAATGAACTAAGTTATAGAAGCCCAATGATTTCTCGTTAATATTATACAAAGCTTGTTAATATGTCATTTGTAAAACAAGAGATTTTAAAACCTCCATGATCTGTATGTATATCGATCCATGCTCACTCAGAGTTCAAAGTGATAGAATTTCTATTTGATAGATATTTTAATATCTATCAAATGTTGATGGTGGCCCACATTCAGATTCCTTTTAAAGAGTTCTTTTTTAATAGTAATAAAAAAGCCTACCATGGTGTCAAAAAATAAAAAATAAAAGCAATCTCTCAGGATAATCAAAGAGAGAGTTTTGCTCCAATCATTAATCTCAGTGTAACTAAGAGATGATACGCTGACCTCTGTGCTCAACTGTTGGTCTTTGTTAACTAGTTTAACACTGTTTACATCAAGAAAGCAAGCTCATTGACCCCCTAACCATCCTGTATCAAAATGTAATTAAAATTCAGCCGGTTGTCTGCCAGTTCAAGGCTGACATGGGCACAGGCATTTTGATATTTATAGATGAGTCTGAAATATTGGTTAATACTATTTATTTTTTCTCACAACTTCCCTTCGTAGCGCTGCATAACAAAAAGCAGTGGAGAAAAGAATGCTCATTACACTCCCCCTTTTTTATAAATATGCTAATGACCTCAAGCTAAATGTTAATGTGGGTCATTCTTTGATAAGAATAACAATTAACAGTTAAGACCAAATGGTGGCTTTTAGAGAGAAAACACTTTCCAGCCTGTGGTGAAATAGATTCATTTTTGAGAGGTTAATGAGAAGGTGGCTGATCCTTGCGTCTATGTCTCGTAGCCCTTTTTGAGGGGGAAAAATCAGTTTTCCTTCTTATGGATATAATCCACATCTCTTTTGATGAAGCCTTTCCTTCTTGCTGTCACAATTGACAGACCCTAGGCCCAGCTCAAATGGCCCCAGTGGGTAAACGCACAGACTGTGGTTCATTTGCACACAGGAACCCTGTCTGGCAATCAGAGGGAACTATCCTAACTCAGGAAGGCCTGGCGAGTCACTAGCTAGACGATGCTAGTCTTTTCTGGACCAAGGCAGTCATCATACTCCCACCCTGCTTAGAATATGACCAAGGAGAAAGAATATTGTCCCAAGGGGCAGCGGGGGAAAGAGGAGAGGATCTGTTAAAGGTTCAGGGAGGAGAGAAGGAATAAGGCAAGAGGCAGGGAGGAAGTCAGCGTCTGGAAGTGCCCCGGAGGGAAGTCAGCGCAGATCTGGGTCATGAGACAGAAAGGAAAGGTGAAGTTGAATTTCAGATCCACTGAGGTATCCTTAGTCTTTTCTAAGGTATCTTTAAGGGACAGTAATTTTAAATATTTTCTTTTAGAGTTCTTCTGTGTTTTAGAAGCCTCTTTATACCTCCCCCCAAAAATGTTTTTTGATATTTAGATTATTTGAACTCTTTGATGTCAGAATGATGTCAGAGCAGAGGGGGGGATTATTTTTATCTCAAGTTTCCCAGAATATCATGTAAAGGGGACTGTGCGTATGACTACAGTCATGGAATTCAGTGTCTGCCACAAAATCCCAGTGTGCTGACTTGAAAACAGTATTTTTACTACCTTTCATTTAATCAGGTTTCCCATTGCAAGTATCTTGTTTGGTTACAAAAACTACAATCATAGGCATTCCAAACTTACCAAGAGTTGATTTCTGACTCAATTCACATCCCTCCCCGCCACCCCCAAAAAACACTGTCACATAGGGAAAGTATTAGTAGACAAGCTTTTTCCGTAATGTCTCTTCACCCACATTACCAGGCCTCAAGTGCTCATGTATTGGGGGTCAGAGAGAGACTGGACAACATAGCCTCACCTCAAAGTCGGCATGCATTTATGTGAGTGGACGCACCTGTTTCCATGTCTTTCATGCAGAAATTTGGAAGTTGCATTGAGGTGTTTGCAGCTCCAACATTTCAATATTCGTCCTAGGAACTCCCTTCGCCGGTTAGCATCTGCAGGCTGATGGTGATCAAATTCATCGGTGAGCCGAAGCATATTTTTCTAACTCACGCAGTGATGGCTACTGTCCTCGTTGGCAGGGGAAGTGTGCTGTCCAGATGAACAGCACCACCGGGCGGCTGCTGGCCTCGGGGACGCCTGCTGTGGTGGAGCGCCCTACTCCACGTCGGGAAGGCAGATCTGCTGCGCGGGGAGGCTTCGAGATGGCCATGGCCAGCAGTGCTGCGGGGGACAGGTCGTCCCCAAAGAGCTCGAGTGCTGCGGGGGAGCCGAGAAGGGCCTGGTGTACAGCCGCCTGCCAGGTAAGGGGCCTTGTCTGCCTTTCGAGAGATGGAGAAAATGAGAAGCAGAGAGCCTGAGAGATGTGTTCTACATATTAAAATAATAATGATTATAATAATTATCATTATTCAAGTTCACATGAATTATGTCAAATGCAACAACTAGGTACATATTGTATAGCAAACAAAAATGCAATCTCCCATGTTCTAGGTGCATGGGATGCATTTGATAAAAACAGATCAAAACTCTTCTTGAAAATTGTCATAAGCGCCAGAAAAACAAACACACAAATGCCTCGGTTCTGTGTCCAGAAAAGACTGCCTAGCAACTACAAACAGTACACAAAATCACTATGAATGACAGCGGGTCAGTTTTTTGGTCCCTAATTCTTCTATGGCTGTTAAACTAACCCTAATATTAATGGCAACAGTTATCACTAACTGCGTACTTACTATCTAGCTGTTACTGTGCCCAATGTTTTAAGCATTACTACCCCAGTTAATCTTTATAAGACCTTACAGGTACTAATATTGCCCAACTCCTACCCAGGAGGCTTGCGACAGCAAAACTATCCCATAATAATACTAAGCTGTTACATGCCTTTTTCATTCCTGTTCTCGCGTGAGCGTCCTGTGGCAGTTTCCAGCAGCAATGTGCCGTGATGATGCAGCAGGTCGGAAAGGGAACAGGAGAATTAGGTTCCTTCCAGACGTTAAAGGGACCTGCAAAAAATGTAAAGCCATGTTATTCTTCTCACTAATTTGTCTCAGCCTGGCAAACATTTTTCATAAACGTGCTAACATGCTACATATTTATGATTAGTTTAAAGGTATTAATGAGAACATATTTCAAAATTGTCCATGTTAGGCTCTTACCCAGTATAACCCATATAAATAAAAGCTGTTTGGATTCTCAATTATCTGTAAAGGTGTAACAGGCCCTGAGACTAAACTTTGAGAACCACTTTTTAAAGGCATAATGATTACGTCTCCTAGAAAGTCATGGCAACCAGTTAGTTATTCTGTGCTGGGATTAACCAGCTCAGCACCTCTTTCTCCTTCCGGTGACTTAGCTAAAGTCAGGCCCATGAAAGAAAGAACCATTCATTGTTGTGGCGGGGACATGGGGACGAACCGTAGTAGATCTGAGTTTTAAAGCAGCAGCATAATGTCTCATTTTAGTGTCTTTGTTCATCTGTTGCTTTTTCTAAAAAAAAAGTCAATTGCCATATTCCTTCATTCAGTAAATATATATTGTCTAATGATGGTACACACAGACCCTCCTCAGTGCTTTGTGAGTGTATAAATGACAAAAACTCCACTCTTGTCCTTAAGGACTTGCAATATAATCCAGGAGATAGGACTTCTAAAGTTAAACACAGGCCATAAGGGGGACAAATTCAATAATATGCTTAAAACTGAGAGATCACTCCTGTCCAGGTGATTAAAATAATAATAATAAATAAACCATTGGATGGGGACCTCGAACAATGAGTAGGATTTTAAGACATGTGGGTAGAAAAAGAGCATTCAGCCGAAGGGCTTGTAGCTTGAGCTAAAGTGTGAGATGAGCAATCTGCCAGTGGAAGCAAGCAGTTGGGTTTATTGGAAGTATGCACCGTGTGTAAGGAAATGCAGACCATCTGAGCGGGAGAAGGGGCTTGAACTTCTCTAGTCCTCGGGGGAGAGAGTCAAGGCCATGAAGGGAGCTGTGATTGAAGGAGGTAAGTTAGATTCGGGCGGCGGGATGAATATGAAGGGAAAACAAGTGAGAACACCATTGCCAAAATAAAACGGACCTGTTCTAAGAAATGCCATACGGATGACCACCCCCCAGGATGCTGGTTCTTAATTTTGGGGGGGCTGGGCACTCTCTTCAGAATCTTTCCCTCACTTCGAATAATACTTATGCAAAACACAGACAGCATTTTACTTGCACTTTCATATGCACTGTGAGTCCATTCATGGGCCCCCATTTCAGAATCACTGCTCTACTTCCTGCCACGTGACACTCTGGGCTAGTCAAGTATTCCCTAAGCAAACCGTGACATTCCTCCACTCTTGTGAATCAGGATTGGCACTCAATTTCTCCTGACATATTCTCCCAAGCAGCCAACTCTGGTAATCATGGCAGATTGAAGGGATGATATTTTTAAAGAGGAAAAAAAAAAACAGTCTTTCTATTCTCTTCAACTTCCTGCAGGTTTCACTGGGAATAGACACATTTCACATCATTTTTACTCCCTCTGCTCCCTCATGTCACCCCTAACAGCTGTGACCTTAATGCCCTTCCCGAAAATCCACGTGGCCCTTTATTATCCCTCAACCTAGCAACACCCTACCTGCTGCACCAGGCTTTGGATTCCATGGTTTCCCCCCTAAGCCTGGCCTCTCTCTGCCTGGCATTGTGATCCTGCCACAGGACCGGGCTGGCTCATAAAACGTCTCTTTATGTACTTTATTACTTAAACTCTTTTATTTGCCTGCAGGAGCACTTTAACGAAATCACATTGAATTGACTTTCTCACACCAAATCAAATCTCCCTGGTCCCAGTTCAGTTGTCTTTGTCAATATGTATTTTATAAATGGAGTGAATTAACAGATGCTGTCGGGACAGAAGTGCGAGGGCAGCGTTGATGTTTTTAGTGCTCTCTCTGGGCAGCTGCAGCGTGGAGACGCGTTACACAGGTGTCTCGGCATGAAAGTCACGCTCGTCATTTCAGTCATTTCGGCGGATATGTATTCTTCACCATTTTCGTTGGCTATATTTTAAGCCTCTTTATTACTCTCTTTATTCTTCCTGTTTGCTTATATGGTTTTATCATTCCTGCCATTCATCTTGGGTTGGACTTGATTATATCCTTCAGTGTTAAAAGATAAGAATTAAAGACTCGCTGTTATTCAAAGAGGACAGGGTGTTCTGTCGGCCACGAGAAACTGATCATGGAAGACCTTTGGCACACACTGCCTTATTTCTGTGACAAGTGTTGTTGTTGCCTGTGCAGCCTTTGACGGGACACTCTGGGCTGCCACTGGCTTGGGAAAAAACACTGAGCCCTCGTGTCCTGGACTCAGACTTGAGTCAGGTGAAGGACTCCACTCATAGTGGCCTGAGATGGGATTTTGGAACTTGGCCAAAAGGGAAGCGTAGCGTGCATCTCCATCCTCTAAGAGTGTATTGAGAGAACATTTCCCAGGAAGGCTTCCTTGACATACTGGTTTTTTTAAAAGCATAATGGAGAAATGCTGGATGGCACATTCCCATCATGGTTATAGGGGAGCACTTGTACTCTGCCCTTTTCTGTTTGGGGGGTGTGTGCAGAGCCATCTACTGGTGAAGATACAGATGCAAGGCTTTTCTTTCAGGCTCTGCCAGCAGTTTTACACGTTTGTCCTAAGAATGACTGATCGCAAAGCTTTTTAAATTTTTTCATTCTTCTAGGCCTCATATAATCCCTTGGTTAAAGTGTGGTTCCCATGGTGAGCCCCAGAATCCCATGATGACTGGCCTTGTTCTAGACTTTGGTTTTTAGTACTGGACTGATTTAATCTGGGTTCTGTTTTTTTAGTACCGTACGTGTTTCATCTCCAAAGCATGGTCCGTGATCGTTGGTCCTTCTTTTAGAAAAGTGGAGCACCTGTCTTGCAGGTCTAAGAACTGAGAAATTCTTCAGGCCTCTATGTCTGTGTGTATTTTTGGTGGCAGCCCTGGACATTTAAATAAGCATTGTTAACATTTTGGAAGTGGTCATAATACTGTGAGCCAAAAATTCTTTCCTCCACAATTTTCTCAGTTCTATCCAATACAATAGAAGCTATCCACCAGCTGTGTATGCTGTTTGAAAAGATACTCCTTTGATATATATGCTTTTTGATCTCAGGAATAAACATTTAATATTTCAGTGCATGTACTACCACTTAGATAACATCTGCATCTTGTTCAAAGAGCCACTCGACCTTTGTATAAATTTAATGAAGAGCCTCTAGAAAAAAAAAGATCAATCCAACCATAGTCCATGACCTATTTTGTTTTTCTTTGGGCATGTTTAAAATCGTGCATTCTGTGTGTCAAAGTTCAAAAGTCAAGTGCTACGTGTGATAAATTAGGCAGGGGTCAAAAGCTATTGTCACACAGCTTCCAAAGATGGTCTGACTCTGAATTTGAGCTCATTCATGCTGAAGTGATGCACCATGGGAATGACTCCCAAACTCTGCTCTGGAACATCTGCTCGCCCTAAGTGAGTTAGTGCACGTCAGACATCTTTATGTCAGAATACTGCAGTGATGGATGCAGGCTTCAGAAAATGCTGCATAAAAATCTGGTGTGCCATTCTGGCCATTAAGTGAAATTACTATTTAAATTAATGGCACTGTCACAGTTTATCTGTGCAAAGAATGAACGCTGATTAGGGTATTAAGTAATTAGCAATTTATCACACTGGAACAAGGTTGATAATAATTAAAGAAGTAATGGTTTACCGAAGGAACTAGAAAGGGAGTCACTTCTTGTTATGTGAGCGAATTCTTGGCTGGAAATTGTAATCCAGGGAAACAAAGATGAAGCTCCGTGTGAAAAGCATTCCCCCCCTTTTTTTTCCTAGTGTAACAACAGTTTATTATCAGCATTTTAGTGGGCCTGTCAAAAGTCCCTCAGAGCGATCAGGTGACTGATCAGGAGTTTGGAATTAGGTCAATGTCTGCATTTTGATTTTATACTCCAAGCATGGGGAAACCAGGTAGGAATTTGGGAGTAAAGAGGAAGGAAGTATTCTCCCCAAGGGGCTAGTTTTCAGATTTTGATTGCTCTTGAAAATAAAACATGAATTATTTTAAGAAAGCTGCTAGAGAAAAAAAATATGGCAGTGGAGAGTCCAAGATGGGGATTTACATGTCTGCTCTGAAGGCCGCAGAAAAATATGCAAATAATACAGCACTCGAAGGTGTGGGTTTTTCTTTTTAGTGTGTGAGATATTTACCCATCATAGTCAACATTCAGACTTTAATGATAGCGCTGCTGTGTGTGTTTCTTTGAGAGATCTTTCCTAGCAATGTGAAAACAACCAAAATGATTAACAGAGCACCAAAGAAAGCAATTTACTTTGAAACCAAGGACTTTGAGCAGTTATCACATTTAAACATGGCATGTCAAAACTCAGTGATGATCAGTGTCTATCTTTAACCATAAATACAAATGTTTTAAATATGTGGAGATATTCTTAAAGTCAGAAGATTGGTGAGAGAGTTCTTGGAAGTCATGTGTGGGTAAACACCTTTCTTAAGTAAGGCTTATGCCAAGCCAGCGTCTAGAGTCAGTGATGTTTTTAAAGCACTTACACCTCGTCGGTCTATGATTAGGAGCGTCTTTCATAATGTAGGTGTTTGTCCCAGACCAGATTAAACACTTCAGGACTCCACAGCCCTTTGAGGTTGAGTTTCTTTATGTCATCAGTCAGGGCTAATAATAAATACACAAAATCCTAATTAAAATAAATCATCACATCGTGCTACTATAAAGCCTACTCGTTGCTGTATAATAGGATATAGCCCTGTAACATGGGATGCAGGCGCCTTAATTTCTAGCTTTAATCTGATGCCAGAGAACCGTTTATTAATTCAGGTTTGGATGTCTGAATTTTGCTGCATCTCTTCTATGGTAAGATCTAAGTGGTGTGGACAGAGGACGTTAAGCTGAACTGAGGAGGGCAGAGAAGTTCATTTGGTTTTGCAAGTACATGCGTCCTTGATGGATGTAGAAATCGGTGACATCGCCTCCAAGGCCTGCCACCATTCCCCCGACCTCTGACACAGGCCTCATGATGGGTCTAGAATACAGTGTGGCTCCCCACACCAGGGCCGGGGGGTGTACCTGATCCCAGACACATTCAGTGGGTGCCAGTCTGTCTCATAGAGAAGGAAAGCCCACTGCTGTTGCTAGATTCACAAGAAGCGAAGACTTAAGCCCTAGAGCACAGGTGGCAAATGCAAGGCCCATGGGCTGAATCTCGCCCTCCACCTTGTTTTTCTGGCCTGGCACCTTGTTTCTACCTGGCAGCAGCATCGCGCTTCTTACCCCTAATTAAAAAATAGTTACAATCATACAGTCTTAACATTACATCCAACCCTTTGAAGGCAACCCGGAGGCTGATGTGGCCCCTGGTGACAATGAGTTTAACACCTCTGCCCTAGACAAAAGCAGGCAACAACTTAAAAACTCATGCTGCAGCATCCCCCATTCTAGAAAGGGGCCACCTCTCCCCTCTGTCTGTCCTCTTCTGCCAGAGGGCCAGGGTGACTTTTCCTCCCCTGTGAATTTCCAGAGATTTCTTCCGAGTCCCTCTTTTTAACTACCCTGCCTTCTTTCTGCCAGACCCTGCTGTCCTCACACAAGGGGCGGCAGTTCTCATGACAGTGATCGGATCTCTCTTCTGTGCAGCCTGGAGAAGTTTGGCCCCACTGAATGCTTTTGGACCGCTTCCTCTTGTGTGTTCTCTAGCTCAGGAGCATCTCATGCGTTTGGTACAAGAGACGCCCCGCTGCACGTGTCAATCACCTTGGGAGGGACATGCTACCTGAAGTATTGTATTGTGGTAGCCCCTGACATTTTCATAGCAAACTTTACAGCGCCCTCTGTTTCCTTCCCTTTTTTAAATTTCACATTCATGGATAACATTGGGTCGTTGCAGGGATGTTCTGCTGTGGGCAGGATTATGTGAATATGTCAGATACCATATGCTGCTCAGCTTCCAGTGGAGAAGCTAAAGCACACGTTAAAAAGAACCGCCCGGTGCCAGTGAAGTGCTGTGACACCCAGCTTATTCCAGAGAGCCAGGAGTGCTGCCATGGAGTTGGCGACGACCCCCTGAAATATGTTTGCTCTGACGAGATTTCCGCCGGAACGAGGATGCAGGTAATGGGTAGAAAGCCTCTCGGAGGCCTGATGTGTCCACGGAGAGAGAAATACATTGTTCATTACTATTTTTCTAAACTGGGAGCACAACAACTCCTGCGTGCATTATTCATTTTCACATTACATCTGTATTAATACCAAATGAGGTCTCTATGATGGGTGTTATTGCAATGAATTCTAAAGGAATTAGTAAGGATGAGCGGTTTTCACGAAGCTCTGCCCAGGACTCAGGTGCCCGTGTTCCAAGGAGAAAGGACAGAAACAGACATCACTGGGCACGTGACATTGTCTCTGAGGCCCCGTCCATGAACCCACAGCTCCCGAAAATGTGTGCAGGGCCCTGTGTGTGTGAGTTCACTTCCTGTCCCCTTCCACTCTCTCTGCTCCTTTACTGGTGTCCGTGGAGCTTTAAGAGGATGTGGCGGGAAGGGCAGGTGTGCAGTTTGCTGGATTTAAATGGTTTCAATTTAAACCGAGTCATACTCGGTTTTCTGAAGCAGCTTTACTTTGGGAAAATAACTTATTTTATATAACACAGAGGCCGAATGCAGATCAATTTTAAACAGTAACAATTACTTTAAATACAGGATGTTACCTCTCTACAAGAAAGGGGAAGTGGAACTCTGCATTCAAAGATTATAGGGCGGGGCACATATAGGTTTACAGCTGTGAGCAAAGGAAACACAGGGCTTATTCTTATATTGTTATTTATTAATAACTGTATTATTTTCCATTACTGTAAACCTACTTTTACCCCACCCTGCATTAACTTGTTTATATCCCTGTAATTTGGAACAATGAAATATTTTCTTTTCTGAGATCAGAACCAGTTAATATTTATTAATAACTATTAAAAATACAGAGATTTGCCCTGGCTGGTGTAGCTCAGTGGATTGAGCTTGGGCCTGCAAACCAAACAACTGCAGTTCGATTCTCAGTCAGGGCATGTGCCTGGGTTGCAGGCTAGTTTCCAGCAGGGGATGTGCAAGAGGCAACCGTACATTGATATTTCTCTCCCTCTTTCCTTCCCTTCCCCTCTAAAGATAAATAAAATAAAATAAAATAAAATAAAATAAAATAAAATAAAATAAAATAAAATAAAATAAAATAAAATAAAATAATATAAAATAAAGAGATTTATCAGAGAAGAAGTTTACAATGATCACTAGTACTTGCAATGGCAGTTCGTGAACTATTTAGATTTTCTGAGACTTGGGTGGGAAACATGTGTCGGTCATACTTTCCCACAGGAAATGCGGGTCCTCAAATGTCGCATTCTTTGTTTCCTTGAAAACTCCACTAGGAAAGTGTCAAAGTAACAATAACAGAGTAATGACTACTGTTATTAATTATATCGACTGAGTGTAAGGCATTCACAGGTGTTCCTTGATTCCCACAACAAACTTGCTTGCTAAAACTCGTGTTCCATTTTCTCACTACAGAAGCTGAGGCTTTGAGTGTATAGGTTGTAGAACTAGGACCTGTGGTTCTGGACCTTGAATCCAAATCTCTGTCCTTTCAACTAAAGTGCCCTTTGTGGAACCAAACTGCCTTTGTTTCTTTTTTTTATCAATTTTGAGATACTTGTTTGCGAACTTGGTGGGTGGAAGAAAGTTTCGCTTGAAAGTCATAAAAACTTGACCTCTTGTGTGTCTAAATGAAACTGTAAAATTCTCTTCCCCTCTCACCACCCCGCCCACCCCTCCTGCCTGACCTAGGACCCCAAAGCATGCGGGATTGTCTGCCCGGCCTCTGTGGAGGCCACCGCGCATTGCGGCAGGTGTGACCTCAACTCCACCAGCCACCTGTGTGCTCTGATCAGAGCATCTCAGGATCCCACAGAGCAGGCGTCAGGGGAAGGAATGTGCGCCTCTGTGGAAGAGACTGTTCACGCAGGACGCGCAAACACATTCTCCTTCACAGGTAACGGAGCTCGAGCTGATGCCCGGGGCTTAGGAGGGGTGGGGAGAGCTGCCGAAATGCAGGTGGCTTTCACCAAGACACCATCTCCCTCCTCAGCCTAATATCAGTCAATTCCATCATCCTAGGGGCCAGGTAGTTAGAAGATAATTGAAGGCATAGTCTGGATTTGTGCAAAGTTAGTAGTAGCTTATATTTTTTTAAGTCAAACTTTAAACAAAGATGGATGCTATTCTAAGGTAAATCTGTAGAGAATAAAGAACAAAGAAAATAACAGTTTATGTATTAATGAGTAGATATTATGGCTTTTCAGTGATGGAATGGCCCTCTGTGATATGCATTTTTGAAGGATTACTGTTGGCTGAAGAAATTATTAATGACAAGCGTGTAGGACAATTAGGCAAATAACAAGTCAATATTGAATATCCACACCCTCCAAAAACCAAAACCCTCTGTTATTAGAGGACTAACCTCATATCACATACAAAATGATTTTGAGATACGAACTTTAAAAAAATTTGCAACTCTGGCAGAGGGGAAATAAAAGTTCAAAGAAAGACATCATTGAGGAAAGGTAAAATTTCAACAAATGATTCTTTTGGGGTAAAGCAAAATAAATGCTTTTATGCCCTGAAAGCATCTTTGAAAGACTGAACATCATAGGAACGCAAAGTAACAAGGATAACAGATGAGGGAGTAAAAGGGAGAAGAAATAAAATGGAAGAAAGAGTAAGGAGCTGGGATTAGAAATGTGATACAGGCGTGAAGAGTGTGAAATAAGAGTTACTAGCAAGGGATAGTTGGATCTGCGCTAGTAAAGACATTAAAAAATACAGTGACCTTCTGGGCTGGGCATCCCAGCCGCCTAGTTATTCAGGGATCAAGGTTCCTTCCTTTTCATGGCTCATGGCAATTCAGGTGCTGCCCTCCTCTGCATAGGGCAGCCTGAGTTACCATATGCTAGTTTTAGCCCATTAGAATGGGACAAGCAGAGGCAGTGATTTCTTCTTTAGAGGGATATCTAGTAGCCCATATCACTTCATACCCTGCCCCTTGTTGCGAGCTGAGTCATGTGACCATACCAAGCTGCAAAGAACACTGGGAAATGTAGTCTTTGGCCAGAATGCAAGGGAAATCTGAGGACCCATGGGTGGTCATCACAGGTAGCAAGGGGCAGATACCTTCTTACCAGAGAAAATGGAGAGAGAAGATAATCCCTTACATTGGATAGCCATTTACATGTTATCAAGTTCTGCCACGTAAGTGTCTTTTATTTTCACACCAGTTCTATAAAGCAGGCAGGGCAGAATTGATCCTTAGAGATGCATGTGAAAAGAATGTGGCCAAACAACCCAAGTGGATGCACTGAAAATTAATCCTGTGGATACACAGAGACGGAGCCAGTGGCCAGCAACCAGGGAGGGGATCTCTAGTCGTGATCCTGCACTTCAGAATGAGTCATCACGAAACCACCACTCATAACCCACATGTACACATTCCATAAGTGGAAAATAGAGCTAAAGAAACCTCCAAGTAATTTTTTTTTGGAAATTGTAGCATTTGTACTTGGGAAGTTATTAAAGCTTAAAAACCGAACTAAGACATTGGAGGCACCGTTGAATCCTGTGGATGATTAGCTAATACAATTTTTGGCAGCCCACAAAGCTCAGCAGGTTGTTGATTTTGCTGTTTTAATCAGAACGGTTGTTTTGGTTTTCGACTGAGTTCTAGCTTGGCGGAAGAGGGAAGCAATAGATTGTGGAGTCTGCCATCATTTTTATTCACTGACTATGATAAACTACGTTTCAAGTCCTGCATCTCATAACAACTGTATTGTAATTCATGTAATAATTTGATAAGGCAGTGTTTACACTGTAAGAATTGGCCAAATTTATCATAATGAAACTATAAAAGACCACTGGCAAGCCTGCCTCCTGCAGAAGTGGAGGGAACAAGAACTTGCGAAGCATTAGCCTCTGATGCACATTAGTCCAGGGCTTTTCCTTCAGAAGCATTTCTTCAATGTGTCCACATTCTCTGATCAGTGCCATTCCATATCTCTGCAGCTATGAAACACAGAAAATATGTTTTATGATTGCAAGAGCCAAGACGCGAGAGTTTTACTTCCAGTGAGAGGATTAGAGCATCAAGCATTTTTAATTGTTTAAAGGTTTTGGGGTTTGTTTTCAATATGCTGGTAAACTAATTCCGATTTTTAAAAGTTGTACTTTGATGTCCGTCTGTCTAGACATGGACCTGGAGCCCTACACCATGTATGAGTACAGAATCTGTGCTTGGAATGGCCATGGGCGAGGCTTCAGCCAAGTCGTCGGGGCCAACACGGAAGAAGATGTGCCTCAAGGAGTGAGTCCCCCTCGGTGGACCAACACGGAGGGTGGAATCGTCTTAAACTGGAAGAAACCTATACAACCAAATGGTACTAAAGCTGCTTGTGAAATACCAACAGCAGAGTTGTGTAAATCCAGGAGCGAATTGAAATAAGTGTAATCTACATTTAATTGGCTTGCATCTAACCTCTACAAAGTGTTTCCTGATAAAGTGGACATGAGGTTATATACCAACTAATCATTCATTTTGTGAGATAGCTAACCCTGATAAATTTTGAGTGAATTTTATTTCCTCGAATCCCAGCCTATATCTGAACTGCTTTCAAACAACCAAATTATGTTATGGGAAGGCAAAATAGTTTTAGTATGGAATGTAGATTTGTTTGCTAGTGAGGGGACATAAACTTATGTGACTCTGATTAGCTATGTTGAAAATCCATCTCCTCCTTAAGAGTGGGTATAATTAAGAATGGCTTGAACATAGAGCATATGTGAGCAAATGAAAATGGAATAATGTGGTAGCATCTTATTTCTTCAGAACTCAAAGACACGTCCATTGTTTGTGAAAAGTGGCAAGGATATGCCCCTCAAATGCAAGCATTGTTCTGCCTCTCATAGGTCAGATCCTTCACTACATTCTTCTCCGAGATGGAGTGGAACTTTTTCGGGGAACATCACTGAGCTTCTCTGATATGAAGGGAATTCAGCCTTTTCAGGAATATTCCTACCAGCTGAGCGCTTGCACAGTCTCTGGCTGTGCCACCAGCAGAGAGGTACGGGGAATGGTCCCCACCAGGGATGGAATGGCCCACTGCGATGATAAATGTCTGGGTCATGGGTGATTTTTCCAGTGGCAAAATGCAATGTTTCTCTCAATATTGTGTTATGTAGGGTGTCTGTCTAGCATCTCGATTGAGTGTAAATACTTATGCCTGAAACTAGAGATCACTACAGATCGCTTGAAACTAGGAAGGAATATTTATCCAAATATCAATGTTTCATTAATTTAAAAAAAAACTTGAATCCATGTATCTTTTTAATCATACTTTTCCTCCACTAACTAGTTTTAGATGTTCTTTTATACATTCATAATAATTCCCAAACCAGTATTCAGTTTTAAAGGCTTTCAATTTAAATACCATTTGGACAAAAAAAATTGCCTGTTCTTGAAAAACAAAGAAAATGGCAGAAGGGCCTGGCACAGAAAATAAAATGTGTCCAAGGCTTTTTCCACCACCCTGGCAAGAAATTGTGAAGATCTGAACTCAGGGGACAGGGTTCAGAGTGGAAAACCTCAGAAAGATACAGCAGGAGGGATCAGGGGCAACATCGACAAGACTCAGTGGTCAACTGTAGGCAGAGGAATAAAAGGGACAAGTCCTGAGTGTGTTCATGGAATCTGGACAGACTGGTGCTTGGGTCATGGTACCATCATGCAAGCAAATAACACAGAATGAAAGAAGCTCAGTGCTGAGATTAAAATGTCAAAAAGTGTTTAAGTACATGTTTAAGGGATGAAGAAGATAGCGGGATGGTGGAAGAAAGTAATATTGGCATTTTAAGTGAAAACATCTACCGGAAGCAGGATTGAGAAGTGGCTGATGTTTGCTAGAAAGATGTATGAGGAAAGCTCTTGCAAGAGCTTGCCTGTGGTTCAGGCAGAAGCCCACAGGTGATGAGCACTGGGGAATGCTACTGTGTGAAGGAGGAAAACTTCTCAAAGGAGACAGGGAGAAACAATCACACACTCTAGGAGGGACAGAAAACAGGAGCCATTATCCCAGAAGCCAGCCTGGTCAGAGGACACCCAGGAGAACACAAGCTCACACGGGAAAGTGCTGGCTCTGTACATGAAGCTAAAACCTTAGACGAATGGCATCTTCAGACACTGTGCAAGGGCCACCCAAGGACAACCTTCAGTGGGACTGAATTCAGCCTTACAGTCACAGACCCCCAGAAGCATGTCACCGCTGGGACAGGGGCGGCTGATTGTCCTGATCCAAAGTTAGGGTCCGAACAGGCCTGGACCCATTCCACCCCCACAGCTCCTGCCTACCAGGTGCCAACACTATGGGCTCAAGGGTGACGTTAGCGGAAACTCCACGAGAAAGACAAACGTAACACCATTTCACTAGGTCACATTTTGACAGTGTCAAACAAACACCTGGGTGATTTGGTCTTCTTTCTTCTCACTTGATTCTTTCTAGAACATTGGTGTACACACACTGTGGAGTTAGCCTGGGAATCATCGGTGGTACAGAAAAACGTCTGCCCATTTATACTGTTCAAAGCATATTATATGCACACGCGTTCAGATGTGGGTTTTGCTCCATATTTACTGGTGCTTACAGGGCACCAAATCAGGCTGTTAAAATGCAAAGACACTCATGGGCCATATGGAAGAGGGTTCTCAAGAGTTCTCTGGGAAGACAGTCTGCCAGCCAGATTTGACTTGTTTAAACGGAGGGCTGCACTCTGCCGTCAAAATTGTTGTTGAACCTGTTGTGATAAATGGTGGTCTGAGACTCCTGTAATGTATTCAAGGTCAGATTTTATTGTTTCAATAGGAACGCGGGGGGCGGAGAATCAAAGAAGGGGGCTGCTTCTCCCAGTCCCTGCTCACGGTACACCAGGCCAGACATCAGCATTTTAAAACAAGTGACATGCTCATTGATCAGAATACCCAGTGGACTCTCACGCTATATTGCTGCTTAATTCCCATGTTTTAGGTAGCCGCGGCTACTACCCAAGGAGTGCCGCAGAGCATCCCGTCCCCCAGGATCAGCACGCCCCGCACAGACGCTCTGCACCTGAGCTGGGGTGTGCCGGAGAAACCTAATGGCGTCATTAAAGAGTACCGGCTCCAGCAGGTTGGGAAAGGTCTCATCTACTCTGGCACCGCTGACAGGAGGCAGCATACGGTCACAGGTAACACCTACCGGAAGAGTCTGTCGTTGTGGTTAGGGGGGCCGAGCCTCCCAGGGGTGAGCGATTGATGTATGAGGTCACTTCGAAAGGACGCTTTCTGTTGACATATGGTCACAGCCCACTTACCCACGCAAACAGGAGAACCCACACTGGCAGCAATCAGCTGCAACAGCAGATAACTCCCGAAATAATTTATATTTGGCTTTGATGTGCGTTCTCATGCGTAGGGTTTTTGCATGGGTATTCACTTTTTTCTTTTCAAACAAACAGCAAGATGCAGTTTCATTCCCCAAGGATACACTCGTAGGCAGTGGGACTAGGATCGCCAAGCATGTGTTGGAAGTCAGGGGAAAATCAGCCAGGGGACAGTCAGCCAGGGGCTAACATTTCTCTGCTAAGCAGGTAATTAAAACACAGTATAGTTGACAGTTGACTGGTTGTGACAACTTGTTGTTATGATTAACAGCGATCGATAATGGTATTATTTTGTATTGTTTATTACAACCGTTTGTAATTATCTTTAATAGTATAATAATCATACACTATAATGTTAGATAATTACTGGCAGTGATGAGAATGATAATTGATATGTCTTAGCTTGCATGTCGCTTCTGAGGGAGAGAAGCGTCTTCTGATGCACTCAGTCTAGGGGTGGCTTCCCGAACTCACCACCACGTCACCTGTTTTCATTGCCATCATCGACCTCCCACTGCCGGTTATTTTGTTTTCCTATTGGTCTTTTTACGTCTCCTCCCGCTGGAATGTAGGCTTTAGGGGAGCAGACCTTCTCTACCTAGTTCAACACCGTACCTCTGGCCCCTGGAACAATCCGTGACAGGTCCGTAGGTGCTAAGTACATGTTTGTGGGAATGAATGAATTTAATATGTGCCAACGACTGTCCTAAGCAATTAACATGTATTGTCTAGCGTGATGCTCATCACGAGCCTGTGATTATAGAGAATGACCACCCCCATTTGAAAGAAAGGGGCTCTTTGAGAGACTAAGTAACTTAGTTCCTCGTTTAGATCTATTGAATCACTCCACAGGGTTGCAGAGGTTTGGATTCTGAGACCACAGACCAGGGGTTACCAGCCTCGACTCTCTCCCTATGGTCCCCAGCCTCAGTCCATGGCCTCCTGAGTGAACCTTCTCCTTCCACTGAGCTCTGCCCCTTTGCAGGGGACATTGGTCCTGGAGAGAATGAAACTCATAGAGCACAGAGAAGCCTGGACCCGAGGGTCTGAGTCTGTTGTAGATGGGACACAGGTGGAAAAATAAATCCATCATGATCCGCTCTTAGTCCAAGTTTCCCTGACACATAAGCAAGCACTTATGGGCAGGTCGTCCTCCGTCTTCCAAAAGTCCATTGGCCTGCAGGAGGTGCTGAATACATACTTGGGGACCAGCACGTTGCATTTCTTGTCTGAAGGTCCTGAGCAAAATCTAACATTGACGAGAATGGAGATGGGGAGAGCCCTTGTCAATTCAGAGGGTCCAGTGTGTCCCTTAAGGTCTTATATCAGTTAGAATCAAAACCTTCAACAAATCATTGCAATAGCATTGTTTTACGTGATAAAACCTTACATGCAGCTGGTGCTTTATCACCTTAAAGATCCATTTGTTTTCTGACTCATTTGATTCTCATCATATTTCTCTAAGATTAAGCGAGGGATAGTTTTGGTATTCACTTTTGAAACACCTACTCGGAGGCAGTCTTGGAGTCCCCTCTGTAGAAAAAAATCAGAATGCTGTTTCATCCCCAAGAAAATAAGATGTGTTTGTCTGCTTGCCGTGTTCGAGATAGTCTACTAAGTGCTCTAAAATAATTCAAGTTAATTGCTGCTCTTAAGCTCCCAGTCCTAGGGGACAGTGACAAGTTCAGGAATAACTGCAAATACTGGGTACCCAGTGCTATAACAGAACGCTACAGAACATGCAGGGAGAGAAGCTAAAAGTGTGGCTTGGAGTGGGTGGTGGAAGTTAATTACAGAGTTTTGAAAGCCAAGTTAAGGCACACAAACACTTGGTACCAGTAAACGTTTCACAAGAAACTGGCATACTAGGGAAGGAGGTTTTTTCTTCCTACACTATCTGCCCATTTAGCTGGCATTGACTTTGACTTGTGGCCGTCTCCATTTTTTAGGTTTGTGTTTTTTAGAAATGAGCATTTACATGCCAACAGACCAAAGTCAACTGTAATGCTCAAACCAACAGGATTGATAGCCTCATTAATTATAAAAGAATTGCAAAGATTAAAAAAAAAGCATTCACACCACCAGTTCTTCCTCTTATTGTCATTTTTAATGGATAGTTTCACATCAAAGAGGATTTTATACACATAAGTTGATGCCAGAATTCTTTTCTTTAAATACTTTCAAGTTTTTTTCCACATAATTTGACTTTTTACAAATTTATGAAATAGAATGAAGCCTTTTGAATTCATTTGGTCCATTTTTATTGTTTTGGATAGATTTAGAGAGCACCTCACCTGGGCAGTGCGGCCCGGAAGAGGAAGTTCTTTGTTAATAAGGAAATAAATGCTCATTCAGCAATACCTGGCCAAGTTCAGAGCCTCCCATATGTAGCCCCTGTGGAGTAGGAACAGTGCTGGGTGGGTCTTAGTCAACGTAAAACCTCACATCTCCGTAGTGTGAATGCATTTGAGCTGAGAGGCAGACTTCAGTGCCATGGGTAGCTGCCTGACCAAACTCAGCCCAGAAGTATTTTACGGTGCAAATGACTGTTTTACTGAGTTCACGGGAGGGACTGAAATAATCAAATGCATTTCACATTTTATCTCAAGTGTTTGACAGAAGAGGTGCCTGCACCCCCTGGGATGAGTGCTTTGATTTTCTCCTCATTGCCCAGCCCTCCGGGGGGAGGGGGGGGGTGGGGAGGGAGGGGCCCTTTGTGGCCACTGAGCACTAATGAAGCTGTAGCTGCAGCCCTGGCGGGGCCTGAATTCCAGGTCCTCAGAAACGACAAGGCGGCAAGCACCCAGGCTCAGCCCGGTTGTCTCCACGCTTATTTTTAATTACCTCAAAGCTTTGGAAACATGATCCCCTAAATGCTTTGTGGGAATAGTGGCGAATGCACTCATCACGTGAAATCCATAAATTGCTTATAATCCTCTCAAGATGTTAAAAAAAGCATTAAGTAATTGAAGACAGGAAGTCCTCAGTTAATTATTTAGAGGTGCTATCAATGCTTTAAGTAAACTGAAGCATTCTCTGCTATCTCACTGAGCGGAGTCCCCTGGGGCAGGAGGGGCGGTCGCCCTCATTTTCTCGTCGTCGCTAATGCAAAGAGCACATGGCAGCTTGTCAATAAAAGACCTTTTCATATCCCTCATGACCACACACGGCCCCCAGCCTGCACAGAACAATTGGGATGGCCGCGGTGGCATTGTTTCACTTTGGGTTACCCGCTTTGGACAGGAGACCTCCAACGGCAGGGAAGAGGGATTAATGACATAATTAAGGCCACTGAGAACAATATGAATTAATCATGTCCTCTTTAGCAGCAGAGAGGATAAGGGCTTAGGTGTCTCTTAACTCCAGGGAAAATATTTTTTAAAAATTCATTGAAAGTGGCTCCTTGTTGCCTTACACTGAAGAGGGAAGACTCACAGTGTTAAGTTACCAAGGAGAGAACAGTTTGCCTTCTGTGTCCTCCAGGAAGCCCATGCAAAGCTCCTGACTGAACCCCAACAGACAGTACCAGCTGTAGCAGAAGATGCGTCATAAATACACAGAGACAGGTATGCTACGCACCCCTTTCGGACAAAAAGAGAACATAGTTTGACCATCGATAGTGCAATGTGTGGACATTCTTTACAAAGGGATTTTCCATTGAGAGAATTCTAGGTCTTCCCATAGTCTCCTGCGTTCTCCTGTCGTAGCATTTAGTATTTAGTATACTCGGCTGCCCTGTCCCTTTCTCCTGTAACCAGTTCCTCAGCGAGGAGGTAAAGCTGTTTAAGGAGAGAGTCAAAAGCTTCCTGTTTGCCCTTGTATCACTTCTGCTATGCTGGGCACTCATCACAGAACTGAACACACATTAAGTGGTCAAAATATGTGTTGAGTAGTAAACTAGTATCTGAATGCCTGTGTTCCATTTTTTTAGATTGTGTTTATTTATTTCTAGAGAGAAGAGACAGGAGGAAGAATGAGAGGGAGAGAAACATCAATGTGTGGTTGCCTCTCACACGCCCCCTACTGGGGACCTGGCCTACAACCCAGGCATGTGCCCTGACTGGGAATCAAACCAGCGACCTTTTGGTTCACAGGCCGGCACTCAGTCCACTGAGCCACACTAACCAGGGCCCATTTTGATTAGATAGAAAAACGAGACTGTCAAACATATCTAAATCTCAGGCAGGGTGGACTAGGTAACCTGTAGAGCCCAGGGCAAGATGAAATGGGAGGCCTCTTGTTCAGAAATCATTAAGGGTTTCAAGACTGTGAAAGCAGAGGATTGAATCCAGCATGGGGTCATTCCGAGCACAGTGCCCTGAGGGACAGCATGGGGCCCACACCCCTAGAGCCAGCCCTGACCTCTGGCAGGGTGTGGACTGAGCGGCAGTTTCTATAGTTGTCCGCGGGAGAGTTTCCAGAACGACCTCTGTAGTTCCCAGTGCTCGGGGCTTTGTGGCCCCAGGTACTGCCTGACCTCGGACCAGCAGACATCAGACCTAGAACGACAGATAGGACGTGGTGTTTTCTTACAGGCATTGACAATGCAAGAGCTCAGTTTTGATGTTTCCATCCAGTTCTTCGAGACACCAGCTGAACCCATATGAATCAATCAAGAATTGATTCAAGAAGTGAATAGTGACCATGGCTGTTCACAGGGGGGGCAGAAATTGGCTTGCCTAAGTGAGGTGGGAGCTACTGAGATTGTGGGGGACAGTGCTGTCAAGAAAAAGGGACTGTGTCGCATGGAAGCTCCTGAAATTCCTCTCGAATTTCATCAAACAAATCGAAATCTCAACACACCT